ACGTGACCGAGAGTTGCTGTCGTTCACGGATCGATTTCCAGTTTCGTTTCCGGCTGTCTGCAGGTTCCCACTTCTTGGTTCTGGGGTAGAGGATGTGGTTGGCTGGTGGTTACCAGGCGCGCGCACTGATGTTTCAACTTCTGCCACCCTATGATTCAGGTTCAAGACGTTATCTCTGACCTGGCGAACCTCGTTCATGCACGCAGCCATCATGTCCCCTTGTTGTGCCATCATCACCATCATACGGCTCAGCTGTTCGACGCTGACGGCTGGTGAACTCGGTTCGCCACTCTGAGACTGCAAGCTTCTTGGCTGTTCGTTTTCTGGTGGCATATTTGCCCCTGCCTGTTCCTGTTCTGACATTTGTACGAGCTCTTCGATCTTCCTCGAAAACGTCCAACTTTTATCTGAAACGCTAAGGTCTACCTGGTCTGTTACTGTAATGGTTGTTGGATGGCGTGACTCCTGGCTTGCAGTTCCAAAACTTCTCGCCGTGCACCTATTCAAATAGTCCGTTGGGACGAAATCCACCGGATGTGGGATGCCGGTGTCAATTTGAGTAAATATCGAACCGACCACCTGGTTCTCAAGAGCCCTTGTCACACTTCGTGTAACCCTGCGGTTCGTATCCAGCAATCCCAAGCCACCTGCAATCACTCTATCCTCAGTCTCTCGATCTTCAACCTCTCTGTATTCCATTCACTCAAGACTTTGACTAGTAATCAAAAACTGATTTACGGGAATTCAGAAAAAAATTCAACTACCGGAAAACTTGATATCCAAGCTCTTAGCAAGTTCAAGAAATTAAAAAAAAGAAAAGATCAACCAAAGAAATCAAATTACAATTTCGATGTTTAGTAATTGGGTAACAATGGTACCAAAAAATCAAAATCTTAAAGGGAACTTCAAAATAAAACCTCGACAATTCCAAGTCGTCAATCAATTCAAATTCTACGACCGGAAAATTCAAGTTCAAAACTCAAGCCAAAACAGTATACACAAACTCAAAGAAAGAAATAAAATGAATCCAAGAATTCGAAGACAAAAAATGCAAAAGATTTCAAAAATTAAAAAAAAAATACAAACTACTGAAAATTTTTAAGATTTAAAGGGAAAATTTCAAATATGTATATTTCAAGAAAAACTCAACCAAAAGGGAATATATCTGCATAAGTATATAAAAAGAAAAGTCTCTATTAAAAGTAGCAATTCCAAACCTGGGATAACTCACTTTGCGCTTAAGGGTAAAAAACTCAAAAATTAAAAACAAATCCGAGTATAAGCCTTCCACGAAAAAAATTACATCCGTTGAAATTCAAATTATATTTCAAAGTGTAAAACTCAGGCCGAATCCCAAAACCGTGAAAAAAAAAATAAAATTTGCAAAAATAAAATATATACAGTATATACGTATTGCAATATAAAACTTTTAATAAAAATAATATAATAAGGTAAAAATAGGTGATATGTAATAATAAACATGCATGTATGTATATAAAAAATTAAATTTCAAAAAAAACTACTAATTTCGTTCGGTTGGAGTTCAAGTAGAAAATTTTATTTCTTGCTCTCTTCTTTTATACACGTACGTATGTATCACGAGTACGTATGTATACTCGATTATATTTGTTCCTATAAGAATATTAAATAGCTTTGGTGTGTATGTGGTGTTACACTGAGCGAGGTCATTGTGAAAGCGTTAAGTCCGTACGTCCTCAGTCCGACGTCGAAGTCACCTAATCCCCACCTAATATTCAATCTAGTGTGGCATGTCAACTGCCAATGCCGTAGCTCCAACGGTGGATGCCACACTCCCCCCATTTCCCCTTGTGAAGACTCACTATGAACCTCACTAGTGCGCGATGCTAGATAGCACACTAGGTAGCTCATAGCTTGTCTTCACTAAACTCAAAACAACAAAAACTACTAGTGACACCACAATTTCGAATCCCACTTCATCAGCGCGTTGAAGCAACAACGAAGGCACTTCGAAGTTGTGATGTTCACAACCCCCCATGTTAGTCAACCAGGCACTAGTCACTTCCGGTGGCCGCAAGTGACGTTGCCTTCGTGACCCTAACTCGTCCGATAGAAAGTAAGAAAATTAAATAAAACGAAACAGAAAAGAAGAAGTAAAGAAGAAGACGAAGAGTTAAAAGTTAGCGTTATCAAGATGGGAAAATTAAAAAAACTATTGGGCTAATAACGTTGGGCGCCATTGTTATGAGGGTGCTTGCGGGGTAGGACGAGGTGGCTTCCAGGCATGGTGGCAGGCCCAGACTAGCTCGCCGGATGGGGGGGTCATTTCCACTCGCCATACCTAACCCTACATATACAAAATTGTTGTCATGCCTGATTGAGAAGCAACAAAAAAAAATAGAAGAAATAGAACTGAGTAGTACTGCAAGAATGCTAAAAGAAAAGGCCTGTCCCGTCAGGTGGAGTCATCCCACCCCCTCTGCGCGTTTCGCATACGCAGCCATGGGCGTTGCGCTGACTCCAAACATTGCAACGCCCCCTTTGCCTGAACTAGTACGTCTGTGTATTTGTAACCTAGTGCCGTCTCGGTCCCGTCATCCGTCTACGCCCTCACGTCCCCTCTTAAGCCCCAGAATAACACCTACACCAAATATTGGCTCCTCACCACATCATTTTAGATAACCAAGCCGTCAACCTTTTTTTCCAACTTTTACATACGAATTCATTTATTTATATACTCACTTAAACCTACTTATTCTATATAGAAAAGTTAATAACAAAAATCTACCAAAAACAGTTCAATTCACAAGTTTAGGATTTCGAAATTTGCGAAGTTTAGAATTCACTATCCAATAGAGCTATAAAAAAATTCAAGGATACAATTCAGTTATATTAGCTGGCAAGTATTCAACCAAACAAAAAAAAACTCGGAAAACTAACTCACGAAAGAAAACCGAAGTAAAAAAAAACAATTAAATAATATCAAAAAACTTCAACAATCTTCTCAAACTTTCACGATCGCGTGAACACCCCTTCTATTTGCAGGTATCCAACAAATGCTCATACGCATATATTCAAATTCGCGCGAGTTAATAAAAAACCGAGGTAAAATATGGTAGCAAAACAAAATATTTTAAGAATGTATGTTTATACGCATGTGTATATGTATGTACAACAAAAAATCAGTTCTTTTTTTTTCACTCACCTTTGCTCTCCCTCGATGATGGTATCAACACGTTGAGAGGATGCTGAAAAAGGGCTGGAAAATGAAATATACATACATACATACATACACCCAAATCCAAATACACACGTGTGTGCACTCAGTCCGGGTTAGAGAGCCTATTATGCTTGCTCATAACTTCACTCGCTCGTGATAGCGGGCACCGAGCGAGTCGTAAAGACACAAAACTTAATGAAAATTCTAACTACGATTAAAAATGCCAAATCTTATCTAAATGAGATCAAATGTTGTATCAAAATTAATTACTTAAAAACCCNACTTAATGAAAATTCTAACTACGTTTAAGAATGCCGAATCTTATCTAAATGAGATCAAATATTGTATCAAAATTAATTACTTAAAAACCCGGGTTACGAATCGGCAAAAATTAGGAAATTACCTAAATAAAAAAAATGAAGTGAATGAAGAAATCAAAATGCGATTAAAACCGAACAAGGGAACGAGTGATAAAGAGTAGAAGAAACAACAAAAAAAAAAAAGTGAAATCCGAAAAGTGAGCGATAATACAACAACTTAAAAGAACTTAGCTTAAACTAATTTAGTCAACTTCAATACAAATCAACGTAAAAGTTAAATTCATTAATATCTATTTTTGGGTTCCGATCGGTTCGTATTTATGTTTTTTAAATTTTAATATTTTAATAGGCTTGTCCGATCTTGCATCCTTTAGTGCAAATAAAACAAAGTTATTCCACTATTGTTGCCCAACGCTTCGCTAAACTCATTAGCAACTGCAGGGGCTGGTTGTTTATTTTCACTGTATCAACAATAATTACAAAAATTACAATTATGCATTAACGTTTGACAAAAATTACATAAGGAACATACATGTATGACGTGCATATGAACATAAAAATGGCAAATGAATTATACTATTTTACTACTTACAGAAATTTCTATTATAACATATTTAATTAAACTTAATTTTACTTCGGTACCATCTATTGTGGTAGTCTTGTCAATACTGGTAATTGCTAAAATTCGTCATAAACATAAAATGTATGCAGCAGCAATGTCATCGGTATCTTCTTTCTTGTTTATTGTTTTTTCTCTTTTATGCATTATTCTTAGGCTCTCCAGTGTATACCTTGTCTTTTCCCTTTTTTCCTTGTCTATTATTATTTTGTTTGCAAAGTCAGCTGTGTGCCCACTAGTAGTTATGTGTTGTGATAGTGCTGTATTGGTTTTGTGTTTTTTTATGTCTGCCTGGTGTTCTGCTAGTCGAACGCCGAGAGCGCGTTTTGTTTTTCCTATATATATTTTGTTACAGGCTTCGTTTTCTTTGCCTTTACATGTTATTTCGTAAACTACGTTGTTCTGTTGTTTGGTGTCTATAGGGCTTTTTGTTTTTGTGTAAATCGTAGATAAAGTGTTATTGGACTTGAAGGCGAGAGTGATATTTTGTTTTCTAGCCAAGTCGCGATCGAGGTTTTTTTTATTTTATGTACAATAACAAATTGTATACTCAAAGTTTTGGAATGCCGATGGGCAATCCTCTTTCGCCAACAATTGCTGACATTATCATGGACAACCTACTTGACAATACCATCGCGGAGCTTAAAAACAAATACAATATTGACATAAAATTTATAGCGAAATATGTGGACGACATCTTTGCAATAATAAAACTAAACGACGTGAACAAGATTCTAGACACACTAAACAAATACCATAACAAACTCCAGTTTACCATAGAAATGGAAGAAAACGCACGCATCCCCTTCTTAGACGTCTGCATTCACAGAGAGANAAACAAACTCCAGTTTATCATAGAAATGGAAGAAAACGCACGCATCCCCTTCTTAGACGTCTGCATTCACAGAGAGAAAAATAGCTTACTTTTGGACTGGTACTCCAAACCTACATCTTCTGGCCGCCTAATTAACTACTACTCATCACAACCC